AGCTCAGAACTGACAGAGCACCGGCCGAAGCTGACAGGAGCAGCTCTGCGGTCTGCATCCATCGGAGATGCAGACCGTGTAGCTGCTCCTGCAAGTTGGGCACGTGGTCCGTGACCGTGTGCCCGACTAGAGTAATAAACAACGGGGAATGTTATAGGAGGACTGTCCTGAGAGAAATACAAGTGTCACGATTAGAACACTGGAGAACCAGGAATAGTAAACTCCGGGTCTTGCGGAGTAGTATATTGTGACGAAGTTGGCAATAGGCAGGGATTCCGGTCTCTGAAGATGCAGGGACATGACAGGGTAAGACATAAGCTATCAGAACAGGGGCATAACTAGAAATCACAGGGCCCCATAGCAAAATTTTGCATGGGGCCCCCCCGTGATTGCTAGTTATGCCACTTGCAGAGCCCTCCTGATATACCAAACAGCCTACCTGAGAGTGGCCTGGCAGAGCCCACCATAGACTCTCTATGGCGGGCTCAGCAGGGTCTCAGATGGGCTACACACCTCTTACCTGTCAGCGCTGTCCGCCTCCGTGGTCGCCGGGCCCCGTCTCCTCTTCCGTCCCCGGGCCCCGCCTCCTCCTTCACTGCGAACGCCGGCCTCTTCTGCCACAGCTGCTGGCTCTGACTGACACAGCTCCGCAGCGGCTGTGAGGTCACTGACAGGTTGTGAGTAATCTTCACAGCCGCTGCTGAGCTATGTCAGTGACAGCCAGCACCCTTACATGCCATAGCGACCCAGGCAGCCCACACGGCATCAGAGGGATGCCCTGGCTGGGCCCCCCTGTGCCTGGGCCCCAAAGCAGCCGCCTGGGTTGCTATGGCGATTGTTACGCCACTGTATCAGACTACACCTAGATTGCTACAGCACCTCCCCATTCTAAATGCCCATACCCAAAAAGAGACCACACCAAGTTGTATATAAAATGGCTGTAGCAGCCGTTTATTAAATAATAATATTTTATAACAGAATTGAATATAAAACATTCAATTATACCAGAATAAATACAAGGTATTCCTATCAATATGGCTTGAGGTCTGTGAAGGCCCCATTAGTCTCCTACTGTAGATCTCTGCATACCACTTAACCAACTGGCCCCTAGCCGCAACTCGCCGACCAAGCCATACCACCAAAAAGAGAAATTGACCACAAACAAAACCAAAGACAAGGGAGGGAGGGAAGTGAAATCACTGTGTGACAACCCTGGACTGACTGGACAACCCTCCGCCCCCTCGGAACACCGTAAAGACTCCTCCTGGCCAATCAAGGTTAGTGACCACCACACACACCCCCCCCATTAACCTTAAACACTTTTCTTTCCTGATTCCCTGTCTACCCTGCCATGTAGTCCTTTCGCCTATTCTTTTTTGTCTTTTGCTCCA